TTCATAAAGAAATCGGCAATGAGAAAAGGTTGCAATAATTTCTAGGTATTCAGAAAATTGGAAGCATTCGTCAGAAATCACTAGAACACACAGGTGGGGTTAAGAAATCGACAACCTACATGAAGAAGTGAGCGTCTGAGTTCAGTTCGTATCGATTCACCAATTATTTCATCGTATGACAACATGCCACACAACGAATACTCTGAATTAGTATCAATTATAAAAGCTACGGTTCTTCTGCCTCATTTAGTATTCTTATCAGACCTACGCCCGATGATTGTCACTTTTCCCAGCACCTAGACAGACAAGCAGAATAAAACTGTCGCTCGAAAAAGATCATCGCAAGGAAGAGGTAAATCACTTGAAATGTATCGCACTTCACTACATTGATTCGATACGACAAGGAATCCTCATATAGCGATTATAACTACCTGTGAACACTCATGTGATTCAACTCAGCTCTGAAGAGGACGAAAAGACCGAAATATTTTATAACAGCTTCGTGTCAGCTTAATAATACAGAAAATTTTGAATGTTGTTTTAGAGGTTCTATAAAACACGATTCGCAAAAACCCAGTGTTCTATTGCGGCAGAATAAAGTTATATTCTAGTAGATAATGTGTAGAAATTACAATGCCAATGAAACTCAGTCAATAAACCACTCTATGCGTGTGTATCTCAGAAAAATGTTGGGTAAAAAAAGTTATCAAATTATAAGGATATTACGCTACAGAAACGTAAAGAGGTTAATTAGATAAAAGATTCGGTGTAAGTCTCACAAGGATAAGGTATGCGTTCGACTCCATTTCTAGTAATGTAGAGGTGACTGAGTAAATCAGTTCCTTTCCGTTTCCCAAAGAACAAATGAAGAAACGATACCTCTCGGTGGAGAAGTTTCCATAGAAGTATTAGTAATCATTGGAAAGCTCAAATCTCTAGCTACAACGCTATGCAGCCGTTTTTCGAAGAGACCCTTTTACGCCGCTGTAGCATACAAAATAAAATTATGTTTCACAACCGCCGCACGTCTTCATTTTTATCAAGCGTATATTTCGCTGGATGCACGAAAATCATATGAACGTGTAGAGAAATTTTCGTAGTATCTAAGCCCATCGTTTTCTATGGAGTTTCTTTCAAAGCGGAGAAAAAATTTGAATCACATGACAAAAATCGCACTTCACATGGGATCCACCAAGGTGTCATCGATGAATAGCAGTGTTGAAATCGCGGGCAACCTCCACTGCTCTACCTTCCAAATAATTACTAACACTCTTGACAAAAGTTCTTGTCCAGCGAATGAGGTCGAATATTCATTTGTTCTCGGATGACGAAAAGGAATTCTGAATCCTTAATTGATGGTTTCCGGCAATCGGATCTAGCAATACATCAACCCACTGTTTTCATGCTCTTAAACCAGTTTGTTTCAATTTGCTGACCTCAGAAAGATGGGGTGTGAATTGTGTGGTACGGACATATGACCGCTACACAAGCTCAAAATATATATAATGATAGGTATCCTCAGACCTCTTCCCGTTCAATTTCCCTTACTTCCACGGTCCTTTCTAAAGCTTTTTCTTGTTACACTCGCTTAACACAATATGACCAATCACCCACGCTAAACAATCGAGCGATGATGATGTTCGTTCTTCTCTACTATATATCCAGCCAACCGAGGTTGTCATAGAACCGTCGCCGACTTTAGTGACATGGTTCTTTACCGATGTTGATTATTAATATCGACGAAAGTTGATAAGTCCTTTCGAATGTTTTTTTTTCTAAATTTTTTTTGATTGCAACGAATCGAATCGAAGCTCCATTCTTTAGATAACTGATAAATCAATTTTCGATATTTAGAAGGCAAGCTATCCATAGAAACACCAAGCACAATAATTGTCGATGTTGTGGGAAAAAGTTAGTTTTTGGACAAATCATATTTCCATCAAAAAAACACTGACCCTGCTAGTGGGTGGCGTTGGGGCTATTGGTGAGAACTGACAATTCTTCAAGTGACTAAACAATCCATTATACTATGAAAATCATTACACTTATACAGGTAGAAGATCGCGAGTTCCGCTGCACTTATTGAAAACAAGAAATTCTATATTCACGTCGAATGAGAAGAATAAGAAGAAGAAGGAGAAGTAGAACAACAGTAAGCAAAGCGCAAAACTTTCTAGACGATCTCGATCTTGACATTCACAGCTTGCTGAAGAAGCTGCCCATGGTTTCTTGTGGGAACGAGACAATTTCAAACTACTTCATATGATAGCAAAGAAGAAACAAAAAAAAAAGCTTTCTTTTTGCTATCATGTTGAGTAGTTTAATGTTGTCTTGTTTCTACTGAATCGTCATGGGTAGCGCCCTCAGTAAACTGTAGATGTCAGGATCGCGATCATCAGGAAAGCTATGCGCTTTAGTTTCTGTTGTTCTACTTCTTCTCCTCTTTCTTATTCTTCTCATTCGACATTGATTTGAAACTTTTTGTTTCTGCAAGAATTTATGGAAGGCTTTCCATTACGACGAAGACAGCTTCATCTATCAGCTATTACAGAAATGTGCATTCATGGGCTATAGAGTTTGTTAGCTCTGGTGTCCATAATAAATAAAAGAAGGAAAAAAATTATTGAACACAGTTGCACAATATCAATCCAGTTATTAATCTACCCAACACAGTTCATCAGCGAATTCAAACCGCTGTCTAAGATATTTGCATTGATAAGCTGTTTGTTGTGTTTAGAAGAAAGAACTGCACTAAAAGTACACCCCAGATAAGAATACAGAAGAACCTTCAAGTTTTCCAAATTGTGCACGGGAGACACATGCAGAATTGAAAATTTCCGCCAATATACGAATTTGTAAAACTGACACAGTTTGGCTGAATCAGTGATGGTGAAGATGACTGTTAGCTAGTTGGCTGAGGAGCAGTATTTGTGTACTTACAGACGAGAACTATGGGTGCTTTGTTGTCGAAAAGCTGCTTTATAGAAAGATCAATTTCGTTATCGAAATGTGTAGTACAGAGAGGAATCTTGAAACAGGTAATCCTGGAAACGCCGGAAGAGTACACTTAAACGTACAACTATGAGAATCAATGCGGTAAATGAGTGTTCAAATCAATGCAATGTTCATAACATATCACAAAACCTGACAGCATAATTTAAGCTTTTCATGAGGTCTATTGTGGCACTTACATAGTGCAGGACACGTGTTTCGGCCTTTCAGCCCATCAGTTGCCCGGTAGCTTTCGTTTCAGTCAGTTTCTCATAAGGAGATCTACTCCTGCATGTAGAGAAATCGACGCCGAACTATTTACACTGCCCGTATAGTGAAAAAACAGTTGAATATAAAGATATTATAGTGTTTACCAGCCACGAGCAACTGACCGTAAAATACTGCATGTTGAGTGATTTTTCGCTTTACAAACAGCGCAAATAGTTCAGCGCCGATTCCTCTATACAGGGGAGCATATCTCCTTGCAAAAACTGACTGAACCGAAAGGTACCGCAAAACTGATGAGGCTGAATGGCCGAGATACGGCTTCTGCACTATATAAGTGCCATAATATACCTCATGAAAGCCACAAAATATCTTCCTTTTTCCTTTTGCTCTATATATTGAGTCAAATCTCTTTGCAAGGAACTAACTGAATCGTAAGGCATCGTGCAACTGATGAGGCCGAAAGGCCGAAACACGTGTATTGCACTACATAAATGCCATAATAATCCTCATGAACGGCTCAAATAGTGCTGTCAGGATGTATTAACTTTGAGTGTCTTAGATAACAGTGATTACACAGATATTCTCATTAGATTCATTTGGGCTGATGTAAAGTGCTATTTGAAAGCTGCCATAAAAAAGATCTATTTGTATATGAATGATAATAATCTTCAATTTTTCAAAAAAAAAAAAACCGAGAAGAAAATCCTCGCGCGACTTTTTTTGGTGTGCTCGGAACGACTCGAATACGTCAGATGAATTCATGAAGACGAGAAGTTGTTTTATGAAAGTGTAAAGACGAGAGGACTTCAATAACAAAGCCTAATAACTTTGAAACAACCGCAGAAAGTAGTAATCGGGAAGATCAAATTAGATACGGCCAATTCAGAAAGAATATCGGCATAGATGATTTTGGTAAGAATAATGGGAAAAGTGGAAGCGTATGACAAGCATGACAGATTTTTTTGAACCACAATGATTACAAAATTTACGGATGATTAAAAATAAATTGTCGATTATTGCATTTTGGGAACGTTTGCTCAGCACTTTACAAAGCATAGCTTGGCTTGGTGATATAGAATCTATCTGGATATCGGATATATCCACCTGATAGAATCTATATAGACGCCGGATATACCCACCCACTGAATGAGTTTTACCAAAAATTAGGAAAGAAAAATACAAGAGAGATGCTCGTGAGAGATGGACGACTATTCATTCTCCCTACCTAGCCATTCTAGCTACGCAAGAAATTAGCGCTTTCATACTGTATGGGGATAGATTAATCTTCGGAGAGATTTTAAACTTTCAAATCTCCTCGACTGTTAATTCAAATCCAATCACTTGTTATATTTCAATAATATTTCTGAGTCGATGAAATGATGAAAAGGACAAAGCTCACGTCGTTGATCACTCCCTAAGGGATGCGTTACGTATTCGACTCGATTTGTAACATCGTTAAAGGCAATTGAATGCATATCTGACCTTTAAAATGTCTCGTGCCGGTCTACCAAAGAGGTATCGAGTCAGTGTTGCTATCCTTCCAGACAAGTTATTGCCAGATAGCTGACCCCGAAAGGACAAAAGGCTCGGTGACTTCGGGATACAGGATTGTACCAGCAATCGTAACTGTAATGCGGGGCCACCTCTCACCATCACGCCACACGTCCTCTGCATGTTTTTAACAATACCTTAGACAATCGCAATTAATTTATTTAATCCATCGTTGCGATGTATGATCTTGCAATAAACCCAATGATGTGGAATACTGTGCAAAAAACGATTGCGTCAGCCGAGACTCAAACCCTTACCTCACTCTTTCCGGGAGCGTATGCTAACCGTTGCACCACCGACGCTCGTTTTGCACAGCACTCTTTTTACGCTATAACGCGTTATCCTGTCAACAGCCAACCGTCTACGGTCTAGCGGGGCAGCTCGCTATCGACATGGTGGTGCAACGGTTAGCATACGCTCCCGGAAAGAGTGAGATTGGGCTCGAGTCCCGGCTGACGCAATCGTTTTTGCACAGTACTCCACATCATTGGGAATATCTTAGACACTTAGATGGTCCGTATTCATTAGTTGTGTGGATCCCAGCACACATTCCAAATGGTATATTGCTGGTCGTGCATATGATATTCCTTGGTTTCTTGACGTAACCTTGCTAGGGCGTTTTCAGATCTTCACGATGTCGTTTCCAATATGTGGTTTTGGGCGACGGATCCCTGGTCGGGCTTCCTACTTGTTGATTCGGAGATAACTTTAGGCCGAAGGCAAAAGCAGAAAAAGGTAAGAAAATCAACCGATCGCTGGAGGATGATGTAAAAGCCGAAATCTAGTAAAAATAAATCAATTTCACATGCTGGTTTTTCAATCTACTGGATGAAAATGACAACTGAGAGGACCTGTAGAAACTTTTTGAGTAGTTAGTCATCACAGTCACGATCTAGTCACTGTCACTGTATCAATGGTCATGGGAATGATAGATGATAGAGGTGATGTAACGTTCATCAATTGTAAAGTGTAAACATAATTAGAGGCGAAATCATTGATTCGGGGCGAAGAGTAAATCCGAAAATAAAAGAGAAGAGAGAGCACAAGCAAGTGGTTGACATTGTAACTTCTAGCAGTAATTACTAAGGTCTGGACGATATTTACAGCTCACGTTCTCATCAGATGGGCAGACAAACAGAGAGACGAAAATATGAAAGAAAAAACAGAGAAAAAAAGAAGAAGAAACGCGAGATTTCACGCAGCCAGTTACTTAGCTGTCAGCTTGTCATCACATCTTCCGTTCATTGGCATGATTAATCAAAGATGAAGTTCCTTTTCGAAGAATCGATCAGTAGTAATCAGTAACAGTGACTGATGGCTGTCAGTGACAGCTATGTTGTCTGACGACGGCTTGTCGATTGTGATAAGTCATAATTGGCAAATCTCTTGTTTCAAAACGAAAACGGAGCCAGGAAGAATCTGAGCCGAGGAGGACGGAGCCGGAAAAAGGGGCGACAAGTTTGAGGAGAAAGGGTACTACTACTCGCTGACTTACTCTTACATTAATTATGCTAGTATAACAGTAAATGACGTCATCGAAAACTGTCCAACAGGCTGATCATCTACAGAGTATTGAATCAAGCGAAACATTGCACTGGAAGCTGGTAGCGACCAAATTAAGCTGCAAGACAAGCCCTGCGACGGGGTTAAGAACCGCCTAATTAGCGGGACGAGTTTCAAAGTTTGGGTTCGAAAAATCAATAGATCAATAGTGTAAAGTAAGAACATATGAGTAGAGAGATATGCGGATAGTGAGGAGGTGATGGGGGCAAGCCAGACCATTATAAATGATTGCTGATCGTAACTGACCCAATCGATCATCGATCATGTCATACCACCCCACCAGCGATCGTGGCAGCAAAGTAAATCGGCGGCCGCCGCCGGACAAATGGCATAGCGACGGGTAGGCCCATGGACGAACGGACGGATGGATGGACGACGACGACCTCCATCGACTACGGACAAGAAATACTGGAACGGGAGGAGATAAGTGAGGGGAAATAAAGGGGAACAGACTGCGGATGCGGACGATTGTCAAGGCAATAATGAGGCATTGTATGGAAAGTTAACCCCTTGGATGCGGAAGCTTGTTGCCTCTCCTCAGGACATCTGATATGCGTTGGATAGCACAAATCTCGGCGATTTCAAAACTGTGCTTGGTTTTTGAATAGGCCTCCTTAATGCACTGTAACATCTCTTCAGCTTGCATTTTGTGGCTCGTCAGAGGGTTCGTAGGGATGATTTTTCAACAGCGATCAGAAACAGCCGTCTGACGATAGCTTGAACAACGATGATTCTGAAGGTGGGTTTGGTTCTCGTAAAGGTCTTCATATAGTGGGAAAAAGCGGGAGGATGGACAGGTATGAAAAGCTTTTCATATGGCAAAAAATCTTAGGCTTTGCGCTCGGGATGTATACGTATCAAAAGCATATGATTAAACCAAGTCTAAAAGTCTTAAATCAAGTTTTAAAGCAAGTTTTAAAGCTATAAACCAAGTCGCGTCGTATTAGCACGTCGGAAAAATCCCAGAAACTTTTCCGAAATGGTGCAAAAATACTTGAAGAAATAGTAATTCGAGAAAAGCCTCTCGAATATCGCTGCGCCACAGCTACTTCAACAGCTGGGTGGCGCGATTTGCGTAATCTATTAAGAAGTTTTATTCGCGACTTCAAGAAAAAAATTCTAGCTTTTTCGTATTAGACTTGTTACATTGTCAAATAAACTCGTTATGAAGTTCATGCAACAGGCTAAGTCATCGAGTATGAAACGTAATATTAGTTTCGCTCTAGTAGCGCTTTGTGAATGCTTTTGTAGAATCACACCTTGTTCCAAAATCATAGAAATATATTTTATCAAATGGCTACTACTAAAGTTTGGTGGAAAATAATCGGCAGACCCTAGCCGATTAAACAAATCTAAAATCAATTCAAAAGTTCGACTTTCTATAAACCTCGGCATAATCAATTGATATATGAAAATGGAGAAAACTTATCTTGATTAGCTGACGCGAGGTTGATAAAACAGTTGTAGAAATTCGGCTGACGTTTCGGCGACCCGCCTTCTTCAGAGCCTGGACGTATATAGTATTAGTCTATTTGAATGATCGGATGGTCTTATTTATATGCTGCCTAGGTCACGTTAGAAGATCAAACGAAGAAAGGGCGCGAGATCTCGCGTGATGGTGACGCACTCGTCCTTCCGATTCATTTCGGGGTTTTGGGCGTTTATCCAAAATGCCTCAAGAGTCTTGCGCGTGGACGTTTTTGATTCCTGCGCCAGGATTGTGACAGTCACATCAAAATCCTTATTGTTGTGTTTTTGTGCCCTATGTAAACCTAAAGGTTTGGTTTTATCTATTTTAGATTTACTGTCTAGATGTTCTTTTATGCGGACGAAAAGTGGTCTTCCCGTTTCGCCTATATATTCTTCCCCGCATGTTTTACATGTTAGCAAATAAATTGTGCCTGATCTCATACAATCTCCCTCTTTTCCGTTGGGGCAGATCATACAGTTGTTGGTGTTGCACAATCGATCATAGAGTCTATTGCGGATCAGCTGATGGCGTAGGGTGGGAGGTGGGGTTTCGATAATTACCACGGAATTTTCAAGACCGCATCTTTTCAGGCACCTTTTAACCGCGCTACTAATCTCGTTTGATATAAATGGTAATTTGAAGGGGACTCTATTCAGGTGCGGAGTATTGTTCTTTTGTGACCTAATTCCACTTTTTGAATATTCCCTAGTGGCAAATGTTTTGTAGCCGTTGGAAATGGCGATCTTTCGTGCCAAGTCTAATGATTCGTTCCTTTCCTCCTCTCCTGTGCACACACTTTTAGCTGTTCGAAACATGTTTTTAATTAGCGATTTTTTCATGTGTGAAGGATGAGAGGAGAGGTAATTGACCAAAATGTTCTTGTTACTTGGTTTTCGATACCACTTTGTACTATAGCCACTATCCAAAAGCTTTACTTGGGTATTTAGGAATGGAAGCCAGCCCCCGTTTGGACTTTCTCGCGTAAATCTGATATGCTCTGACTGTCCGTTCAACACTTCAAAACATTTGTCCATTTCCTCTTGTGTGGAACAGACAATGAAACAGTCATCTATATATCGGCAGTAGAGCAATGGGCGGTGAACGAGAATTGGAGCTTCCACCTTATACATAAAAGCGATGGCAAGACTAGGTGCTAAGCGTTGACCCATGGCTAACCCCCTGAGTTGTGTAAAGTATTTTCCCGACCACCGAAAGATTGAACAACTAAGACATTGTTTTAGGAGGGTCATTAGTTGTTGAATTGTGAAGCCATACATGTTTACTTTTTGTTCATTTTCAGTTAAAAGTTCGAAAATGGCTTGCATTGCAGAGTCATTTGATACGTTTGTATAGAGTGAGCTAACATCAAATGACTCCATTACGTGCGAGTTGTTAGGTTTCGCGCAACGTAGGTGGTCAAGGAACATTTTTGTATTGGGTAGGTGGGTTGGTATGAATTTGAGCACCTGAGTAAAAATGAGGTTTAGAAACCACGTTATTCTATCCGTTGGTCCGCCTATACAACTGATGATGGGTCTAACCTTGTATGTTGATGGATCGGTTGACACTAGATCATCAATAGATGTAAGTTTATGTGTTTTTACGAGAAGGTATAGGACCGGACAAATAGGATTATTGTTTTTGAGTCGAGAAATAACTGAAGTTTCCAAACCCGCTGCACTTGCCGTGTTGACCCATTCTTTGTTTAATTTTTTACATTGGAGTTTATATTCTTTCTCAGAGGATGGGCGATAGAGGGAGACATCCTGAAGATGTTTCTCCGTTATATCGACATCCAGCTGATTTGAAATTACTACAAATTCCCCACCTTTATCACTTACGGACAAACGGATAGTTTTTGATCTTACGAGCTCCCTGATTTGTGACAAACCTTGTTTTTGTTTGTGTGTCAGATTGGAGCTTATTTTTCTATGCCGAAAGTGGTTGAGTATTTGCAGAATTTCGTTCGAAAAAACGCGAAAAGTAGGGTCGAGTTCGCTGTTTGGTTTTTCTTCCTTGTAAAAAGCTTGTGGGAAGGGAATGGGTGGTAGTGTCCCTGGTTGTTTTTCATTACCTAACCCTTCTAATCTAGCCTTGTAGCGCAGTTGATTTTGAAGTTCTTGTAGACTGCATACGATCCTGCGCAGGGTTAATTTAGAAATGGGTTGACTAGGTGCAAAACTTGGACCCAATTCTAATAATGAGCGCGCCTCATCCGGAAGCGTTACACCACCTAACACAGTAACTCTTGATCTCTCTAAAGCGCCT